ATATACATACATATATACATGCGTATATTCACACATTAATAGATATATTCTCATACATTCATACATTCAAACATTAACAATTGCATATAATAATATTCATTAAAATTATAACAAGTGCATAAATTTTTTACACACCTACCGCATACGATCGATCCCAATGTCGTTTAGAAACTAATTTTCAAATAATTTGTTGCATATCTTTCAATATGAAATACATATAGACGGACTTGCATTTCAATAACACTTATGTAGAATGCATCTATATACCGCATCTATGAACCGCATTATATCGTATCGTATTCGTTCCAATTTCTTTTGAAATTTCACGCGAACTTTAACAATCTTAATAGCGTTCAAGAGTAAAAAATTGTACAAATTTGCAACTTTGCATGTCTACTACTAAAGCCAAATTCGGCGGGAATGCAATAAGTTATCGTTAAGCGATATGCATACACACCTATGTCAACAATAGATGCCTTTACATACTGATTAACTTTCTATAAAATAAAAAAGTTTAATTATTTCGCGTGAGAGGTGAATTTAAAACAAATCTCTTAACGATGATGACGGAAAGATGAATACCGTCCCCTCTTGATTACTTTAATCATGTTTTCAATAGGATATCGATTCGATAAAATTATTTGAATATCTGCGTTCAAAGATGCGACTACGAACACTGTGTATCCGGTTTAAAATGCGGCGATAGGTGTGAAAAGACATTTAGCTCGAATTCGCCTCAAAATGTAATAGGAATCAAAAGTGTTGAAATTCGTTTCGAAGGATTGTAACGTTCCCTGCAAATATGCAGGGATGCGTGTATGTTTGCGAGTTGTGTATACATTTTGTTTCACTGTTTTTACTTAAATCAAAAAAAAGTTCTTCTCTTAACGTTTCTTTTCATTCTTTTCGCATCTTCAAGTCATTTCGATTAATCAATCCTTTTTTCTTTTTAGTGTTACACAAATGTTTTTATTTTTAAATTTTTTAATTTTTTTTTTGTTAATTTACTGGAATTGTTTGTTGCTTTTAGAAAATTGTATTTTTTTATTTTTTTATTTTTTTTCTTTCTTTCTTTATATTCGATATTATTTATTAACATATAGATCTCATTGAATATTAAGTTTTTTGTTTTTGTTTTTGTTTTTATTCATCATTAATAACTAATTCAGTTCGATATGTACAAAGGTTTTGGTACTTTGTCACTGAGACCATGAACTAGGTACATATGGTCTCCAAACTTCTTCGCCTTCTCTTGTTGTGTGCGTGTGTGACTCTGTTGTTCCTACCACAGTATTAACGACATCTGTATTTTGTTCTGTTATATGCGTTGATGGTTGCCTACTATCATGCTGGGTTGGATTCGATTCCAGAGTTGTTCCATCCGTTACTCCCAAATGGGATGAATGCTGCTGGTGATGATGATGCGAATGATGATGATGATGATGATGATGATTATGATTATGATGTTGCTGATCGGCAGAGTTATCGTTATTGCCCAACATCGTGCTTGTACTTTGATTTTGTAAGGCCGTTACGCTCGATTGATCTTCATGATCGGAAGTCCCGATACCAATTTCAATACTGGAACGATTACCGGCTAATGAGCTAATAGTTAAAGCATTATCGCCGCCCAGATATTGCTCGATCTTATCGGCACCGTGCAAATGTAAATGAATTTCATTTTGATTAAATGTCGAATACAATTGTGGATATAAAACCATTGTTGGCGCGGTATGCGTAGAATATTGAGCTTGTGGTGTACAACTTCCGTATTGATAATTATTATAACCGTTTGACCAATTATTGTAGGACGGATAGCTCGCGTTGAATGAGTCCAATTCAGTTTTATTTGCACTATAGCTGGGACTACAAATTGGGGCCTGAACGTGTGGCACTATAGCACCAGGATGATAGTCACTTGAAGCACAAAATGTTTGCATATCCGTTAGAACTGATGATAAATGTAAATTGGCAGGATCGGCTGTAGGCAACGACTCGTAACCGCTATAGCTAGCATTTGATGTGGCGGCTGTTGCGGCCGGCGGTGGCGGTGGCGGTGGCAAATGATGAGCATGATGCGTATGATGATAACTGCTATAAGCGGCTGAAGCTGCGGTATTTACGCTTGACGTATAACCTGTCCATTCAGCGGCACCCATTAGATTGTTGTCTGCAAAGTAAACGGAATAAAATCATTAAAAAAAATTATAATAAAAACCAAAAAAATAAAAAAAAAAAAAAAACAAGAAAACAAGAAAAACCCGTTAATGAACGTAAATAAAAAACAAAATTTATAAAACTTATGAAATCACCCGACAAGTTGTGGAAAAATTTCCTAGAAGCCACCATTGCCAAGGATATTAAACTAATTGCAATTATAATTAATTTAAGGGTTTCCCCTCTTCATTGATCAATAACAATAGCCGTTATTTGAAAATATGCGTCAACATAATCATTATTATGGAATACAGGATATCAAGGATAACAGCGGAGTAGAAAAAAAAAATCACAAGGGCAAAAGCAAAGCAACGCACGCAAGTACTTCGCAATTATCAAATGTCAATTGAAGGCTAAATTAATGACAAAACTGACGAAAGGATACTACATGTACTACTCACACAAACACAAATATATATATATATATATACACACATACACATACACACATTTAATCATACGTATATTGGCAACAAACTAACCGGTGGTCTTTTGGCGGGTTCATGGATGGAAAAAAGGCAAACAACATACCTTGACCGGAGAGAAATAGCTAAAGCCCAAAAAAAAAAAGAAAAACAAGCGAAAAAATGCATGAAAAATGAAAAGTAAAAAAGAAAAAAAGAAACCAAAAAAAGCGAAAAAAAAAAAAAATTAAATAAAAATAAATAAATAAATAAAAACCTGGCAGTGAGTGCTGCAATCTGTCGATTATTGCAACAGTGTGTAGAAAATTATATGTTGCCGTTTGCAGTCGCTTGCAAGCGAACAGACTCAGAGGAGTTAGCTATATACTCGTGGAGGTAGTCACGCAGCGCATGTATATTTGTATATGTGTTTGTGCGTATAAGTGTATGCAATGCAACATAATAATTTATTTAGCTATAAATGTGTATGTGACGGTCAGTCATCGTATAATGACTGACTATGGCAATACGATGACGTTATATGTTTGCCTATATATATATATATATATATATATATATATATATCGCATTGCTACGTGCGTTATTTCATTGTGTTTTCCAATCGAAAGGGGTTAAATGTTCATAAGCAATGCTTGTTTAGTTGCTGTGTGCAGATTCTAGACAACCGTATTTGTATGTATATACGTATATTTATGTAATTGTTGGTAAATTTACTACTAATTGAAACATTAAAATGTGATAAGTGCTAGTTTTAGTTTCACCGCTTGGCTACTGATTGCCGGTGTCTTGCTTGTAAAATTATTCATATACAATTTATATTTATGTCATTTCGTTGTAACGCTGACAGTAAGGAATTTATAAACAAAAACCAAATAAAAGAAAGAAAGAACAGAAAATTGTTTCTTTATTTAATTAATATTTTTATACAAATATTTATCGCGAACCAAGTCAGTCTTTTATGAAATTTTTAGTAAATTTTCTTTATTATTTTCATAATTAATTTAGGAATGTTTTCCTTCACATTTAAGAAAATCTTGCGCCATAAGATTAACTGTCTTTGAAGCAAAGTTTACTTTAATATATATATATTTATATATATATATATATAGATATATATAGGTAAGTTTTTAACCCTTAACCGTTTTGATGTTTAATTGATGGGTGAGCTCAGCAGGATTTCACGTTGACATATAACAAACATATGCATCAGCATATGCTTGTCATCATCTACTTGTGTCATGTATATTCTCCGTTTCTCAATTTGTCCTCCATACTAAGCAAATATTTTGATGGCGTTCCTCTGATATAAAATTATTTTTCAATTAACATCGTTTTATGTTATAAACATTTCATCAAACCTATTACATACATACTTGCGATGGCTTTTTGATGCCAATGACAAGTTTATTTTCTAATTTCTTTTTTTTTGTTTTTTTTTTATTGGGTTTCTGCTTAAAATAAATTAAACTTTTTTGGTTTTCTTCCTTATCATATATAAATCAATTTTATGCAATGGCTTTAAAGGGTTATTTGCAATTATTAGCAAGTTAAAAAAATTTTGATGGATTGCCTTACATCATCTTACATAACAGTTATTCATGCAACGACTTTTTAAAATAAGATATTTTAAGGGAAATTGTCGAAAAGGTGGCCCAATCCGAAATATTTTCAATAGCTTTCGTGCTTGGGTCTCTAAGAAAACAAGACAGACGGACGGATAGATAAGTTTAAGTCGATGCAAAAAGTGACTCTAAATCGAGTGATATAATAAAAGGTAGATCTATCTCAAATCATTCTATGTATTGCATACATCTGCATACATGCTTAATATAGTCTTATGCCACAATTTTACATATACGTGGTCTCTTCGTAGAGGACGTAATGAAACCCTTATGGGAAATTACTTATTTTTGTTAAATCTTCTTTAAATCTCTTTTCACTAAATCACTGACTGATCGCTGAAATTGCGCTGAAATTTAACTAGTGTCAGCTCTTTCAATTTAGTGAAAACAAAATTAGATACGTAGTGTCATTAGTGAAAAGCCCTCGAAAGGTCTATGCAATAATTTATCTTCAAAGCGAACTAGTAAATGGGAAATTCTAACTTTCAATAATAGTGTATATATGAATTTGTAAAGATACTTTGAAAATCGCGAATCCTAATCTCAAGTGCCGTGCTTTGCAATTACTGCAACTAGTTCTTTATAGCGATGTCTTCAATTTATTGAATAACGCATCAATTTGAGAGGATTTTTGTTATGATTATAGTTTAAGGAGTTTCGCATGAAGCGAACAATTCACCTTTTGAGGCTTTGCACGGATCGAGCCACAATAAGACTGCAAATGGTATAGTTAGACAATCCATAAGTCATCGTTCGCCACAAGCAGGAACAAATGCTTAGCAAACTTAGTTCATCACTTCTAATGCACTTTTAAACAGGCACCATAACGGACCTATGTAAGTGAGCGTTATCACACGCAATCAAGAATTGATTTGTTCGCAGCATTAGAGGCGAGTTTTACATTTACATAATACTCGGCTCAATCGCATTCGTTTCTTCCAACTTGTTATAAGGTTCCTCGGTGTAATTGAGAAGCTCACAATTTCAATCGGCTTTTCAATCGCTTTAAATACAGTTGATAAGCTAAAAGGGATTCGATCTCTACTGTCTACATTAAAGGTTAGCCAAATTTCAATCATAATTTCTCGCGGCGCATAGAGTATTCATTTCATTTCTTTATCGCCAGTAATCTATCGCTTTTTTCGGCACTTCTTCCAACAACAAATAGACAAAGCTAAACTTAACACAATTAATTATGTTTAAAATTCAATCAAATCGAGTTTGCAAAAATCGAGAAATAATTTTAGCGCAAAAATTAATCAAAACGCTTTGTTTTTGCTTACACTGCTCGCTTATAAAAGTCACTTTAAATTCATTTACGCTCCCAATCATTTGTTTCGATAATAATTTGTAAACGATTGAATTTAAGCAATAAAACAAAAGAAAAAAAAAAAAAAAAAAAAAACAACAAGTAAAAAATTTATATTCGATTGTGACCGGATATTTTATACGCCTCATCGTTATCCTAAAAGAGACAAAAAATGCAAGAACTAAATTTTCATGCTCTCTATCTAGTATGCACTCTAGTGAGTGCGATTGATTTTTTTGTATTTTCAGATTATACAGATTATCGATTCAGAATCGATTCTTGATCCTTGACTCGCTGTAATGTTTTTACTTATTTTCAACAATAAGAAGAGCATATCGACAAAGAAATCAATCTTACCGGATTTGGATAATGTAGGTCTATTTTTTTGGATACCGCCGCATATAAAGATCGTCAGGAAATGTAAATCTCTATATGTCAGAAAATCGTAATTTTTGACGGTTCATGATTGGAAATTTATTCATGATAGTAATTTGACATAAAAAATTGAATGGATCTATTTCTTGGGCCCCATTCCATAGCAAAATTTCTTATGCATATATATATATATATATATATATATAGTAAGACCTTTAGAAGAAGGTTTAATTTTTAATACTCCACGATAGACGATGAAAATTGGTTCATAGTAATAATTTAGCAAAAAATGGAACGGTAAACAAATTGGATCTTGATCCAATTGTTGTAAGTCAACTCTCTGGACGCTAACAAATATATGGGGAGTTATCACGAAAAGCAAGTGCTTATATGGAGAGAAAGTCGACTTTTCTAGTTTCTAATTTTCTATGACGAAGCCTGAAAGATAACATAATTTTTCGGAAGTAAATTAATTTTCGAAAAATTTAGATCACGTCAAGTTACGTGTTGCACATTCGCCATTATATGGGCTTTCATGAAAAAATTTATTATTGCCAAAACGAATGAATAATTATTGTACTAAGCAAAGTGATTTAAAGTGAAATGATAGTTGGCTTTACCCTATTACAATATTTTCACAAATTTGACAGTGACAGACAGACAAATAGATGGATGGACTGATGATAGCGGTGCAGATGAATCGATAGAGTTGTGAACCTATAATTCGTCTTTTTTTTGCAAACCTATTAGATTAGGTCACTAAAACATTCGCAATTACTTTATAATTCAAAAATGTTTATGCATTTATGCATTATTCATATGTTATATAACAAATGCAACGCATTGTTCTTTACGTCTTGCTTCTTGCGTAGACAAGTGGCCATATATGCAAATCATGTGAAATTTCTCGAATCCTGGATTAAGATTACGTTTAAAGTAATCACATCATATCATTGAAAGTCGATATGAGTATCATGCGACTTATGCCAAGAGCGATATGTTTTGGTATTGTTCGCATTATTTGGATTGCAATTCTAGAAAATTAACTGTGCAGTTAAGCTCTGTTAAGTTCTATATAGCATATGAAGAAAACCGTATGTACACAATTTAGTTTAGCGTTAATTGTGGTAATTTTTATTTTTTTATTTTTTATTTTTTATGTTTTATTTTTATTTTGGAGGGATAGATAACAGACGTTTATTTAGGTCAAATATTTTATTATGATTTTTTTTTTTTTTTTTTATTACTTTTTATAAATCCTACGAGTCTGAGTACGTGTCTGAGTTATAAAAGCAGTAGGTAAAGCCACAAATCAATCGAAATGTGGTTTAGTCTGGGCAGCTGTTGGAACCAGCAGCAGACATTGGTTGCTTAGGCTTTTTATACTTTTGTTTTTCAATCATATTCAAATACTATAACAATAACAATAATAACAACAACAACAATAAAAATTAATATAAACAACAATGAACAAAACGACAAAATCATCCTTCAAGGTATTTGAAATGAAGAGCAGACACAATTTATAAACGCACAGACATACATAGACATAAATGCATATATACATGAAAATACATCAAGACACGTTCACATATATATGTGTCTGCATTTTGGGCAAATGTTAATAGACCATTAACATGTCAAACTGTATCTTATATGAGTAAAAATGTAACGAACCAAAAATCAGTCAAAAGGCGCAATTTTCAAAACGTGCAGTGCAAAAGCACGCACATCTTACAATGTTTTAATAAATTTTCAAAAGATATCTTTTTTTTTTATATTTATAATGTGCATCAAGAGTGCGACAAATTATTTACATTTATTACATACACACACACACACACACACACATACACGCACATATCAACACATGGATATAATGGCATATATACATATATGAAAAAGTATTTCACTTTTTTCAGCCATCATTTTCAAATGGCTATGAAAATCGGCATTTTATTGAAATCTTAATCAATAAAATCATATTAGACAAACAGAATATTGATGAAATGTATTCTGAAATTTTTTCGTATAAAAGCGAAAAAGAACTCACATACGCCTTGAATTTAACTCTTTGATGACGTAGTTGAATTGCTTTTTACTGTGAGAATATATATCTTAAGAGTTCAATACATGACAGCTTTGTCAGCAGTCTACGGTCAGTAATATAATATGTAAGCGCTTACATAGTGTTGTGACATACCTTTAAAACGCTTCGGAACAGTTGAATATCTCTGCGGTATGGAATCAATAAGACATTGTAAATAATAATTGGCAACCGCTATCGTATTACACGATAGGAATTCGACGGGAGGTATAGACAATGAAAAGAACAACCAGTAGTTAAATTACGATTTTTCGACTTTTTATGCCGCCAGCAGAGAGTACTTTCGATTTTTTTATTGTCCGCAGGAACATTGTAGTCTACGTCGAATGCTAAGGGTGAATAGCTAAATCGATTTAGGTAGATCAACTTGTCCGTCTGTTAACGTTTCATTCCCATTTACTTTAGACTTTTAGATTAATTGTTGAAATTTTCTTTAATAAAATCTCGGCATTAGATTCTAAACTCAGTTAAATTGAATTGAACGATTGACTTGGCCGCAATTATCAAGAGCGCAATTTTTTTTGTAAAATTATGTAGAAAGCGTTAGCTATTAGTAGCAAATTCAATCAAAATCTTTACTATATCTATGACTTGATTTTCGTTCTATATTAACGTCTATGCCATAAGCCAAATATAACTTCATTGAAAGAGATCAATCTATGAATGAAATTAATATTTGTATATAGACTGAGGAGACAAAAAGGAAGAAGTTGTCTAATCAAGTTCAATTTTTTATATTAATTTTTTGAGATAGTAATTGTGCTTGTAAAGAATACTTGCCCAAGCATAGGTGAATCGGTTCCCTTACTGTCTCTATCATTTTCGATCTTTCTGCTCATGTCAGAAATATATATACATATACATATATAAATATATATATATATATTTATTATGAGTTTCGCATAGCATATTTTTAAGCTCTAGCAGCCTTTGGCATTTTGAATGCATAGAACGAATGTGGGGAGTATGAGATCAGTCAAAATTCTCTGCTGAATGTAGGAACAAGAGGAATATAACGTCTCTTTTTGTTCAATTCGCTCGTTTTCATCTTTGTCTTTTGTTTTTTTTTTTTTTTCATAATAATCAACTTCGTTAGCAACTTTTGTGCTAACCGCAGCCAACTTCCGCTCTTTTTGTGTGCCTCATCAATCACCTTTACCTATAAACATTTTCCATACCGATGCAACTATTATTGCTTTCGTACTTTTACATACACATAGACGTGCGTACGTGCAACACACTGTGTACCCCGATTCTGAAATTCTTACATTTTACAAATTTATGAGAATTTTTTTTCTTTTTTTTCATTTTTTGTTTCTCTTTTTAATCTTTATGGCCACCAGGAAATGAAGTCTGCTAGAAGCAGTGCGAGCAGATAGTGTTACAGAGGCTTTTGAGAAATATGCAAATTTAAGTGTTGTTATTTCAAAATAATTGCCTTAGAAATCTTGAGGTTTTTTTTTTTTTTTTTTTTTTTTTTTTTTTAATTTTCGCATTTAAGTCTAATATGCGCGAGATTATGGGAGCTCTCGATCAATACGAAAATTGGGGGAAAAAAAAGCAAATACGAAGGTGTTAAATTGATAGTATCCGGTAAAATGAATATCTACATTGGAGGGACAATAAGAAAGTAAAAGGAATATGCAGAAATTGAAACAGAGATTACATGAATGAATGAATGAATGAATGAATGAATGAATGAATGTTCATAGCTAACGTAGTTCGTTCATGAGTAGAGTAAATATATGAAATTAATTTATCTTTCGTTAAGTGGCCGTCAATTAGTTTTAGAATTTACTCCCTTGACGATTTCAGTTCGATTTGAGCAAAACTTACTTAACTTGTAACGAGTGTAAAATTATCATTTTTTGTCTTTAATTTGGAGAGCCTGGTAGATATGTTTCAATTAGGCTCATAGGGTAAATATGGGCTGTTCTTTTAATTGGAACAGTCTGAGGAGTGTTGGTGAGGCAAAAATGTAGAAACTCTTCCACATCTCACGAACCGAGTTAGTTCAGCAAAGGAACGTAAATGGGTCTCATACGCCTCCAATCGAGTTGCCCTAAAATTTAATGCATTTAATAGTTTTCTATAGACAGACCGGAGGAGATATGGATAGTATCATTACATAAAAGTGGAATTTACAAAAGTTGCATTTCTTACGTCCAATTTGTTGTTTAATTATTATGCTTGCGTTCAAAAATTGATTCCCTAGCTGCCTGCGTATCATGTGGAAATATTTCTCGGAAGACCAAAAGGCCGAAAATTTAGATATGTATTAAGTGGAACGAGTATTTTTAATCGAGTTTTCCCCATAAATGCGTTTCGAGTCGCTTAGCCTTTGCACCGCTGAAATATTCGACCAGAGACCAGAGAAAGCAATTGCTATTAATCTAGGAAACGAGTATTTCAATGTATTACACTGTTGCCTATAGGAAAAATATTAAGGAAAAATGATGACTAGAAAAATAAATCAATATATCAGCCATAAAATGAGTAAAAATAATATACCAAAGACATTTCAAAGATCTCTGGCAAAACAATATCGAAACTTGCGATTCATATATATATAGAGATGATTGATAATCAAGCTAGGCGAACGTAAATGGGTTTTTTTCCCTTTTTTTTTTTTTCTTTTTCTTTTCTTTTCTCTACATAGTTTGTCAAGAACCGTTAACTTACCTTGTATGTGCGTTGCATTAGGTTTATAACCCTGGCAATCGGAATTGATTGTACTGCTAGATGATGAATGATTGCTTGCTAATTGTGGTAAGTTAGGACCAGTCGATGATGTTGGCGCAACGGTTACATTGGCTGTGACGGCCGATGAACGAGAAACACGATGCAAAGATCCCAATTCCCGAAAATGACTGGAAAATGTTGCGTCCGGGTATGGACGTTGAGCTAATCCAAAAGCACGAAATTGATGACCACCCGGTGGACCTTAAAAATTAAATAATAAAAGGATATAAACGTAATAAGTCTCTATAAGAGAAACTTTAAGCTCTACTTTATTAGACATGAGTTTCACAAAATTAAGGAAGACTTAAAAATGTATTCATTCTACTTAGCAGAAACGATGAAAATAGCAAATGAAATGCTCAATTCAAAGTTGGAAGTTATAAAGGAAGGCTAAGATTAAAGAAGCATATGATGAAACCAACGGTACATAATAATAATAAAGAATTTTTATAAAAACCGCAACATGGTTTAAAGTTGGTAAACAATAAACCAACAGTAAATGGAAAAAAAAACAACTAAACGAACACCAGCAACAATAATAACTATACTAATATGAACGAACCTATATAGTCGACCATCAATTTTTTTTTTTTTTTTTTTTTTTTTTTTTTTTTTTTTTTTTTTTTTTTGTTTTTTATGTTTTTTAAGTTGCCTTTCAAACACTTGTGGTATCAATTCTCTCATTAAAACTGTTCCACAAAAAAAAAAAAAAAAAAAAAAACCACCTATATGAAAATATATAACAAGAGTACGACAGATATCCTTTCACACTGACACACTAAGTCAACCAAGCAAAACATGGCGGTCTCCTGCCATATATACGTATAAATATGTTTAATAAGCCTTATATATATATATATGTGTGTGTCTGCGTATGTGTATGTATACATGTATGTATGTGTATATATGCTAGATTGTAAAAGTATCCGTATCCGATTAGTCTGTCATCATTTACATAAGTTGCTTGAAACGCTACAATTTATCAGATCATGCTCTTGTAAGCATATTTAAAAGGAAAAAAAAAAAATGTATATATACAAATATATATATATAAGCGAATAAGTACAAAATGAAAAGAATATTTGAAGCACCTTTCATAATCAATAATATTTGAACTTATATGTCATATTTTCGAAGAGGGATTAACTTATTTCCCCTATTCTTGTCTTATCAGATCAAATCAAATCAGACGTGAACAGGAAAAGCAAAAAAAAAAAATTGTAGGCAAAAATCTGAAAAGTTAATGAATATGCTATATGCAGTTCCCTATTGTCTTTCGATTTGTAGTTGCGTGTATAAAGATAACCAACACAATTGCACATGTTTGCCGATAAATTTTTTTAATGATTTTAAAATGATTATATGTCATTATACCATAATTGGTAAACATATGGAATCGGATTCTGATGCTACGACTGCCAAAACAGTTCATAAATTAAGTGAAATGAACGAGAGGTGTTTGATAATTTTTTGTAATTGCCTGCATTTAAAGATTAGTAAATGTTATTATCCGCTTATATATCCATACGGAATACACGCACGCATCTACCTATGTATATATCTTTTGGTTCGATTATGGGTTTTTTTTTTTTTTTTTTGGTTTTTGTTTTTTAATCTTTTTTTGTGTTTTCTTTATTTTCACTTTCAGAAATCATTTGATATTTATTACGATTTTGTTGCAGTCTTATTATTATTATTATTATTATTATCATTATTTTTATTACTATTATTATTATTATGATTATTTTAGCTAATCAGTGCTTTAACCACAAATGAGCGGCGATAAATTTTTCGCTTAATTAAATGACAAGAATTTCCTAAACCAAAAAAATTTGGTTACAATTTATGTATGTTACGGTTATTTTGAGGTTAATTATAATGAAATATGTAGAAAACAGTTTTTTTTTTTTTTTCTGTTTTATTTTATTTTTTTTTTTATCGCTAGCACAGGCTAAGCCGCCCGGGTATAGATAAGAAAGAACTATTACAAGTTAAACTGAACGTTTTAAATTAACTTCAAATATTCTTAACAATTGTGTCGAAACGATTTGTTTTAAGCTTTAAAAAGCTTACTTAAAACATCCAGTATGAAGTATGAAAAACTTCAGTTAATCTATTTAAAAATGATGTAAGGAATTATGAGAGAGACGTGCACCGATCTTCAAAATTATGCTGCAAGTTGACCTAAATGGTCGCATGCCGTCAATCAACAGATAAATGGAAATATGAAATTTAGCCATACGTCTATACGTAATATATTTATGCCAAAATTGATGATAAGCCCATCAATCCTACTAATGGCTTAATTAACGCAACCATGAAGATTGAAAGTTTTCCTATCAACAAAAGGAATAAAATTTTCATTTTTTTCATGTTTGTTGCTTTTCAATTTGCATAATGAAAATACAATTTTGTGCATTTCCCATATTGATCGAAAGATTGCATTATACTCTAATGACAGCAATATATTCGATAGCTAGCATATACAGCATATACTTTTGCAATGAAAGCAATAATAGCTGTTATATAGGATAAGATACTTGGAAAATTATCGAAAAAATATTTCACTTAACAAAACCATTTAGGTAACGATTCTGAATCGATTGGTTCATTGGCTTAAGCTGGCTGGATGTTATCCGGTCAATACTATTACGATTTACGGAATCGGTTTTGGTACACTCTCTCACACGCGTTGAAGAAATTTTCCCAGGCGAACCAAAAATTTGATACCTACTTAGAACGTATAAAAACCATTACTCAGCGAGTTTTGGTGAAAAATTTTAAAAATTGCAATATTTTTCCACATAACGACTTTTCAAAAGAAAGCGTTTTATAGGAAGCGATCGAAAAAATGGACCAATCCGAAGCATACTTCTTTGGATCAAAGCTCACCCTTGTCCCAAACTTGATCAAAATATCTCAAAAATTGCGATTTGCAGGCTGAACGCGAACCAACATGGACAGACATCAGACAAACAGACAAATTTAGATCGATTCGCAAAATGATACGCAACCGATCGGTATAATAAAAGGTAAGTCTATCTTAATACCTTCTACGAGTTACATATGTCCGCACTAACTTAATATACCCTGTATCGTAAGTCGTGTAGGGTATAAAAATAATGGAAAAAGCATTCACATATAAAATGGAAACTAATACAAACTTGCAGTGCGGTCAGTGCAGTCTATAAATACGAATTGTAGCAATTGTCAAAGACGCGTACCTACTGCAGTTGTTTGATATATGTTAAGGAAAGCTGATAAAAAACGGTCAGAAGAACCTAATTTTCTTTTTATAATCACAATTTATTATCGTCAAAGTTGCCCATATATGTCCTAGTAATGTATGTAAGACGTATGTATATTAATTAAAAGAAGTAAGAACATTATAGTCGGGCAAGGCCAACCATTAAATACCCTACACTAGATTGTCTAACACAATTCTCTATTTTCTATTCAAGAATGCAAAAATGATATCTTGTTCCTATATGAAGGCGTATTTATGGGGAAGTGGGCCCAAAACGTAACCTAATGTAATACAAGTGTAATCCTCACATAGGGCAGGGACCAAAAATAGCTCGAAATGCTCCAAAAATTTATATTAATATTCATAATTATTTAATATTACGTTATCGATGAATTAAATATATGAGTGTAAACAAACATACGTATGTACATAAGTATTTCTATTGTAGCGCTAATGTAGCCGCGCACAGATCTATTCAATCCATTGTACCATTGCATTCCCACGTTTGTCGTGCATTGTCGTACACATTGTGTTCGTTTCAATTCTGTTAATCTCTCTGTTAATCTCTTTTGCCTCTTATGACATAACAAAGCTATATATCAAGGACCAAAATGATCAGAAGGCCTCAATTAGGATTACATAACTCAAGGAAATTTTTTAGACCAGATTTTAAATTGACAATTAATGTCCTATTCTTTTTTTTGCTTTTGTGGACATGTTTGTAGGCGGATCAACATCCTTGTAAATTTTGAATTATTCTGCATTATTTTGTATTGAGCTTTTATACTCAGACCCATAGTAGCTATTAATTGTAAATTAGGTCGTTTTGCCTATTGTAAGCGTAGCTGTCTCGCAGAAGGTTAAACAGGCCAACAATAGATGATAAGGCGGTTATAGTGGACCGGGGTTCTACTGTAGACGAATTGCTAGGCGTATTTTTGTGCAACGAAAAATTTTAATCCCCTTCGGTCTTTCGATGATGGATGGGATGCAAGTGTAAGCATAGATTGCGATCTGACTGAAAACTGTTTCCTATTAGAGGGCAAAGGAGAATTTTAAGACGCGTAAGTTTCCAATGGAGCAAAGTTGCAGCAGATATCGATTGAACGCCTATCTTCAATAATTATTGGGATTACCTTGGGGAAATCTTTCGCGTTGATCGCTCAAGGGGAACGTTAACATTTAACGATATCTTCGCACGATATCTTACGCGGTCTAGATGAACTTTTCACTATATATGTATACTTAAACTTAATTACGTGTATATGTGTGTGTGCATTTGAAGGAATTGTCGCAGTCTAAATTATTTCGTTTTCTTGGAGCCTAGCGAATGGTCGGCGAAAGAATATGCGGCAACGTTATATAATAATATTTCATATTCATTTCTGAAGCTATTGAATAATTCTGAAGAGATCGAAAATGAATTATTCTCACAAGGTGAACATAAATTCTTTTGCTTTGCTTGTGTCTTCATTGTTATTTGTTTTTATTTTTATTTGTTGTTTTTATTATGATATTAAAGAAATTGATTACGATAATGCGAATATGTAAATGAATATAGAATGCCACATAACTTAATTAATGGAATTCTTTTTGGAAATGAATTCTTATAATGGTAAAGTTAAAAATCTCACCATTTGCACAATCACCGCTCAGAGCAATATAATTGCTTAAGAAACCGAAATCCTCGAAATCCGAATGTATAAAATCAGATTCAATACCTGAAGATGAGGCAGACGAATTGCCGCCGCTACCCGTATAAAACCATAATGAAGGTGATGAATTTAAATTATGACAACTGGTAGCGGTCAAGAAATGATCATCAATTTCATCATTATTAATATCATCAACACGTTTAGCGTTATTCATAAGGTTTTCGTATTCTTTAATTTGTTGAACATTATACTTAAGTGACGATGATAGTGGCGGCGATAGCGGTTGTGTCGATGGCGGTGGTGTTGGTGCTGGTGGTAGTGGTAGTGGTAGTGGCGGTGATAGTAGTGGTGGTGGTTGTGGTGGTCGTGGAGGTGGAAGTGGAGGTGGAAGTAGAAGTGGTTGTGGCAACATTGTTCTAATTGTACGTTTATGTGTCTGCAACTTATGGCTGATCGTACGACGTGACTTAAACAACAAAAGCGACTTACTTGTTTTAGAACGCGGCTCTCGTGGTCCATCGACGGTAACTTTAATAGCTTTAGCATAAGTAGCCACCTGTGGTGGAAACGTTTCCACCGTAATGGTTAACGTAAAACTCTTGCCTGAAAAAGACCAAAAAGAAAGAAAACAAAAAAAAAAAAAAAAAACAAAAAAACAAAAAAAAAAAAACAGAAAAACACAAAAATAACCATAACAATCAATAAAGGTGTTAATTTAAGATGTTTATGTTATGTTGTTGTTATGTTTTAGTTATTAAAATAAGACAAAAAATATTACGAGTTTTTTTTTTCTCATTTTTTTTTCTCCTTTTTTGCACTTCTTCCGTTTAGCAATAAACTTAACAAATATACGGCAATCTGTCCATAAACATAAACAGAAATCGAAAACTTCGGAACAAGACTCTTAAGTGATTTAGTTTTAAAATTCATTTAAGATTTAAAAAAGTGTAAAGCGGTAAAAATTTTTTTTTTGGTTGAATTAATTTAGAGTGATCGTTACACGCGTCATAACAGCTGGCGGTCCATCTTTAATTTAAAGGCAGTAGCACGTGCACATACGCATACACACAGACATACAGGCATAACTTCTTTTTTAACTAAAAGGATAGATAAAAGCTCTTGTGAGAAATGTGGCCTTAAACGTTAAAACTTGGATAATGAGAAAAATTATGAATTATGAGTGACAACGCAGATATTAAGAAATTGTGCAGAAGGCCGAGATCGTATAAACAGAAAGACAGAGAGAGAGAGAGATAGAGAGAGAGAGAGAGAGAGAGAGAGAGAGAGAGAGAGAAAGTAATACCGTTTTTTTTCTTTTTTTTTTTTTTTTTTCTATTGATGCGAAGTGAGAAAAAGAGACGAGATATATATATGTATTTTAAATTGATTTTGGGTAAAAATCTTTTTTAAAAATTTTGTTCAAAATTCCATTGCAATCACTTTCGATCATAACTTAATCTTTTTTACACTATCAATATTAGGAATTAGGTGTCTTGAGTTGCTACAATAACGAAACAAAAACAACTTTTCCTATCTCGTCAGCTTAAAGAAAAGCTAAACGAAACTTCGGTAAGTGAATATATATTAAATCGAATCGTTTTCTTATCTACTTGTCTGTCCGTCTTCCCATCAATCTGTCTTGTGTTCTTGCGTTCAACGTATAGGTTGCAAATATTCTGATAAAATTTGATACACTGACATACTTTATCCGAAGGACGAATGCCATTGAAAATGCTTTGGATCGGACAATTTCTTCAATCATTTCGCAATAAGTGTATTGAGCGAAATAGCGTGTAGGGTATTTAATAGTGGGCCGTAGCAACCTATAATGTTTTTACTTGTTCTAAATCAAATATATTTGATAAAATATTGCTATTGCTTATTCGTTTTGGATGCATATGTGCAGAAAAGTTTGATATAAACTTTTAGATGTAAATTTGTTACGTGTGACCTCTCAAAAATGAGAAAAAAAGTCATGCAAATAATTTCATACCTGAAAGCTTGCATGCATATCAATGATTAATTTCATTTTTTGCCTTTGATAATAAATTTCTCATTTTCTTTTTCTTCTCGCTAAGCCAAGTTTTTCTCCCCAAATTTTTCATTCAAATTTTGACTCTTGACTAACATAGCGGTCTTCGTACAAAAAAAAAAAATGACCGGAAGCTCTTTATTCAACTCTGGATCTCATCAAAAAAAAAACCAATTATAAAAATTATATTCGGTCGTGACCGAATTTTCTATACCGATCACCGTGATCGTAACAAAAATGGCAAAGAACTAATAATGAATGGTCGCGACTGATTTGTCCTATGTTCAGAATAAAAGTGAGGTGGTAATGCTGTACTTTATGAGTAACAAGTAAGAAACATAAAAAGCAAAAGTGTTCACAGTCTTTATTATATACGCCTGTAAGCGATGCTTGCAAGCATGTTCTTTGGATCCTTTTCAAATCTTCAAAATTCTTGCAAGTTTGGTAGATGAACGGGAGAATGCTTTCCATAGATGTTACACAGTCACGCAGATGGACAATTGGACAGATGGACGGAAGGGAAGGGTTTTAATTAAATCGATTCAGACTTTAATGCTAATTAAGTTTATATATGTACTTTGTAGGGTCTCTGAAGCTCGCTTCCGGGCCTTGCAAACATTGACACAAAGCCTTATCCTTCGGTGATGGGTAGAAAAATCACAAAATTACAAAAGCAATTTTCCTTTTTCCTATTTTAATTTCTCTTTTTTTAATATAACGGATATCGCGCTCAGAGGATATCCTTTCGTCGTATCACACAATGGCGGGAAAAGAAGGAAATGAGGAGAAAAGTGAATGTGCGCCCCTTTACCTACTGAGCGCTCTTCATAGCTGCGACCACCAAGATTTGAATCCGCAATCACTGACTTGGTGATTGCGATTTTCGTCTATTCGGCTACTCATGCGGATATGATAAATAAAGAGGTAATCATGAATTTCCATAGGAAGAAGAAGACAAACAGAGATATCACAAACACCATTACCTTAAGCTGCTGTTTCCTCGCACAAGTAAACAGACAGTTCTTGATATTAAATTTCATAAGAGAGAAAAAAAAAAAAATAATACAAATCTTATGGATTTCTTCTTCACTTCACTACGCTTTTTTGTTTTTTTTTTTTGTTTTAACTCGAGTTTAGAGAACGTTTGTTCTAAAGGGTTTCAATTTTTTCTAGATACCTTTAAGAGATGAATTCTCGTTTTGATTTTGTTCTCTAAGCCAAAGCGCAAAATATAATGAACGTAATAACGATTAATGCAGTAAATAAAGCGAAAAAAATATTTTTACGGACTCTTTGTTCGAGTTAGGTAGCGATGAAATGAAATTAATTAACCCTCAACTGCTTATGTCGCAACGCAGTCGACTCTTTTCCTTTGGAAAAGAAGTCGCGGAAATTTTTTTATAACCTGCACTAGGATGTACGCAATTAAAGAGAAAGAGAGAGAAAGAGAAAAAGAAAAAGAAAGAAAGATAAAGATAGATAGAGAGAGAGAGAGAGAGAGAGAGAAAGAGTAATCTCTTATGTAAGTCTGCAGGACTGTTGTATAAAGAGTTTGCTTGTGATTACGTTACGAATTACAAAACCTAATAGAGTAACTGTTACATTACATTACCGATTCCCCACTATCATAAAGAGTTCTCATAATGCGGATATAACAAATAATACTATATATATATAGTTGACATTGTACCGCCGAATATGCAAGCAAACCAAAATGATTGAAGAGCAAACATTGCGAACTTGACGTTTATCCTTGAAAGACTTACTTGTAGAGAGATTACATAAACATTTTCCATCTATGTCACGCGTATACGTACATACATACAAATATGTATACATATATATATATATACACCCCATATAAACGACATATATATGCAATCGTAAGCATTTGTACATAAAGTATTTGGATGAGAAAAGTAAAAAAAAAAAAAAAAAAAAGATTTTAGTGGGTTGGGTTTATTTCTTTCTTTCTTTTTATTTCATTTGGGAGCGAGCCAATATACAAGGCTGTTATTGCTGTTGTTATTGTCGTGACTGCTTTTTATTATTGGGGTTATGTGTGTAAAAACTACACCCACAAAATTGTGGCCAAAGAGAGTGAGCATAGATATCTCGACCAAAGTTAACCGCAAAACCTCAGCCGCAAATGGAGAATGTGGAAAATAATGTATTTCTGTCTCTTTCCATCCCTATTAATCTCTCATTCTTTCGCATGCACACATGCAATGAAATACCTTCCCTTTGCTCAATGTATTTCAAAATAAGTTATGAATGGTTATTGAAAAATTCATCTATAAATGCTATATATATATATATATATATATATATATATATATGTAACAGGATAATGTCTGTTTGTTTGTTTGTTTCACATATACACATAACAAAAACACAATACCGATGCATGTATGATTGCACCTATACTACTTTATCGAGTTGACATTGAATGTTTATAATTTTGACCGTAATAATGCTGGACTATAATTGTGGATAGGCTATGGGTTATACCTTCCGGCCCATTCCTTTTCATTCATGTTTACTAAGTAGTTTAAGTCCTTTATTCATTATTATGTTTTAAAAATGTGAATAACAAAAAACAAAAAACAAAAACACTTTATTGTTGTTGGTGGTCAATTGAAAACGTCAAAATAGTATTTATTGATGTGCACGCGTATGCATGCATGGACAGTGCATGGACGAATGGTGTTTACGTGCAACTCGTGCATATTTTTTTTTTCCTTTTTTTTTTTTTTTTTTGTGCGTTACACTGCTGTTAAATATTTTATTCACATTAAATGAACCGTTTAAATAGCTTTGACCACCGATATCAATAAATAACATAAAATGCAATTGCACCGGAAATATTTTCCTTTTTTAATTTTCTTCTCTCGTCTATTAACGTAATGTCACAAACATCTATATCTATATTTATGTATGTATGTATGTATACATTAACTAAATTAATAAAAATTTAATTTCTCCTTTTTTAATATTTTTTAAAATTTTATTAATTAATAGTATTTGAAAAATGTTATTCTTCTTTCATGATATGAAATCATTTCTTTTTTGGGAAAATAATTGTAAGAAACAAGTTTTCCTTCTCCCTTTTCCTTTGAATTTTCTTTCATATTTGAATTTAAAATTTTTACAAGTCTATTTGTTGAACTAGAAGGTGCCCACGTTTCCTTCTTATGAATCTCTTTTTTAATTATTTATAAAAAAAAAAAAACATACGTTAATAAGCTGATGACAATAAATTATTATTAATAATAATTCGCTTAGATATTATATTAAATTAATTTTGTCAATTAATAAGGGCATCCATCACCTTTTCTTATACCTTATGGGACAATTGTTTTTTTTTTTTTATTTATTTTTTTTTTTTTTGTTCAAGCTTTCATGAATATTTGCGTCAATATTTGGAATTTCTGTCGGCATTGCTTTACTATACATGTTGACTTATCAGCAATGTGATTTTTTTAAATGTTCGTTTCGTTAGACATTTCAATATTTTCGACTGAGTCAGCATCAGTTTTTAAATCTAAATCTTAATCTTGTCTATCCGTTT